GTAGACCCATTTTTTTACACTTTTCCCTCAACCGTGCGAATTTCAGATCCAGTATGTATGTTCTGAGTTATTCTTATGGGACATAGTTGGACAAGAAGGAAGCAGGAAGCTGGGAACAGAGGTAGAGAACAGACAGGAGAGAGTGGGGGACACGTGCTTCTGCCATGCAGCCGAGAGCAACTGAGGCAAGAATAAACCTCAGATACAGAGGTACAGCACCCATTGGAGGGGAGGGGAGTGGTGTCTGGTTTGTGCTGTGTTTTGGCCAAAATAATTCGGCAAAGCTGAGGGTGTATCGCCCTGCAGACTGGGGAGGAGTTTTGAGAAATAAGCGTGTATGTGAATTTGTTCATTAACAGATTTACTTTTCCTCAAATATGTAAGTTATTTGGAACAAATCCTGGGAACTGCTTTTAAAATTAAAAAAAAAAATGAAGGAATTAAAGATTTGGTTGGAGAACCAGTAAAAATATTCTGTGGCATAGAATAAAATAAAATTACCCACAGGTTCTTAGAAATAAAGGGAAAGGACATCCTGAAGCGTTTCTAGCCACTAGAGTGTGGTAACTTAAAGCCATTATATCCTTCTCCCTAGTGCCCAGCCTGTTATTTTCACAAACACTGTACCCAGCACTGTTGAATGCCAACCCAACAACCACTTCCAGCTTCCTTCTTCCTTGCCCGCCTCCCACCAGAAGGGCTGCAAAAGCTAAACATTCTCGTTTGCAAACTGTCTTGCTATAGATGACCATGTGACCTCATCCTGCCCTACGAGACATCATGGGTTTTTCTGTGGGAGTGGGATAGATCTTTCTCCTTGACTAAAAGCCCTTGTGCACCTCACTCTCTTTTTGCATTGCATGCTACCATGTGAGGATGTGATGCCTGGAGCTGTGGCAGCCATTTTGTGATCAGGTAACACCAAGGCTGAAGCTGAAAGCTAACACACAGAGGAAGCTAAGAATGGAAAGATGAAAAGAGCTGGGTCCTTGAAGGCAACGTTCAGCTGCCAAACCAGCCCTGAGGATCACCTATATTTCTAGACTCTAAGTAATAAAAGTCATTTGGTATAAGCCACTGTTCGTTTTGTGTTACTTACAGTTGAAAGCATCCAACTGCTATGATGTAAAAAAAAAACCAAAAGTGCTCTCATGGGTTCCCTGAATATCTTGATCCGTCCGGCTTCTATCTTTTCTCCATAAAGTCTCATCACTCCTTTTCACAGATAGCACAGGGACACCACCTGTTACAGCATCTCTCAGGATGATGTGAGGCTCATGCACACTATAAACTTCTATAAAAGTAAGAGAAATAGTACAAAATGCTTCTGTAGTAGGTAAAGACACCAACTTTCATGCAGCAAGGGACAAGATGCCACTCAGCAGCTGTTTCTTCTCTTCTGGGAGAACGCACATTGTGGATGGAGTGGGAGGCGGGGAGGTGGCCGAGGAAGAATTCAAACACCTGTGCAAGGCAATAAGCGCAGGAATGACCTGCCGAGGGGCAACCGTGAGCGCAGCTCCCTGGGCTTTGATATTAAGTTGACCTGAAGCTTCAGAATCATGAACCGATTAGTTGGTGTGTGTGTGAGGGTGGGGATTAGTTTAAACTGAGAGAAAAAGAATTAGGACCTTGTCAAATGCCCACGGACTCAACTCCTTGCTCCTGAGAGTGCTGGCCTAGAAATAGTTATGTGTGTGTTTGCAACATGCACAAGGCGACCCAGAGCTGAGTGCCGCCTGCTTAGGTCAAGGATGCAGATGCCCAGGCCCGTGTGGTGGGCGGCCGCCGGGACCCCTCCCCAGCATCCTGTGGTCCGGGACCCGCGCCGGGAAGCTGCGGAATTAAGGTAGAGACGTGACCGGCCGACTCTGCTTTGGTTCCAGAGAGTAAGCTGTTTCCAGAAAATGGCATTCTTTGAAGCTACGTTCTTATTTTGAAAGACACCAAAGGCCCCAGGCAAAGACGAGGTTTTCAGGTTGCCGCACCCTCGGATGTGAAAGCAGGACCAGGTGTGAGGTTGTGCACCCACGCCCCACACCCTGCCCCGCCCCCCCATACCCCCTCTGTCAACAGAGGCTCAGTCTGCAAATCATTTGGCGCCTTTTAGGAACTTTACGGCTCACCCTCAAGTTTAGTTTATTTGACTCTCTAACTTTGGTAGATTTCTGGTTGGAGAAAATGAAAGGTACCTATCATTAATTTCTGGGCTAGTTCATTCATCCACGTTCCCAAGGGGTTTGCTCTCCTCTGGAGCAGACAGACGTTGTTATACCGAAGGTCACCTGCAGGGAGATGACTCGCGAAGGGCTCCTCCCCCCTTGCTCAGCGAGTCCGCAGGGAAGAAGCCCGCACGGAGGCCCCGCAGCATCCCTCCCTGCACCCTTCTTCGGCTGCTCGCTTCGCATCCTTTCTGCAAGGCCTCCTCTGGGTGAACTAACCCTCCGATCACTAAGCGGTCCGCATGTGCTGGTGTTTCAGTTCTCCACAATGGAAGCTGGTCTGAGAGAATTCTGCCCACCCAAAGGGGAGTTAGGAGGTGCAGAGAGGGGTTCTGATGGCCTTGGGAGTTCTGCCCTGCCTGAACGTGGATCATAAGCCAGAAAGGTAAATTCCCTCTTACTCCAGCTAGCCTGATGGGGATTTCCATTACTCGCAAACTGAGTCAGCTCAGCTACTTCTAAAAACTTGTAATTGAAACTCACTTCCCCTCTATGGAAGCCCCCATTTCTAACCATCTCCTTAGGTCACATTTTTTTCTGTGAATTCCGATGTACATAGATGAATTAAAAAAAATCTTTTTCTCTTAAAAATAAATTTCCCCTCAAACAAGTATTTTACAAGAGCATGCTAATTCTTTTGAATAAAAAATTTATTTTGTAAATCAAGCAAGCACTTTCAAAGTTATCGTCTATACAAACCCCATTTTTTAGCGTATTAGGTTTTCTTATCATACACTAGTGTTGTCATATACAATGGAGGGAGTAACAGTAAAATACAGTGCAGGCAGAAGTTCTTCTCAATTTGCCAATTCACTGAATAATTCGAATGAAAGGTGTAGTAGTCACATAGAAAGAATTAAGTATTTTATTTTCGATAATAAAAATATACCCACTCTATTATATAACAAAATGTAATTGACTATTCGCTTAACTGATAAAACGGTTAATAAATTGATTTGGGTTATAATCAGAACATGAGTGTAAATCTGTAGGAAGACAGGTATTTTCAAAATAAAATTCCAGTGAAGGGCTAACCATTCTCAAACATAGAGAGTACATCAAGAATAAATGGTTTCTGTTTAACATGTTTTTGCTTTAGTGCCCGGAAAGCCACAAATTTGATAAACATATGGTAAAGCCAAAGTTTTCTGGACGTGAGTTATGATATTTGCTCAGAAACGATGCCAACCGGAGCATCGCAGGGGTGGGGGGAGCACTCGCCCATGCGGACACGGTTAAGTAACAGGCAGAGGCGGTGATGGAGGCGGCTGGAGGCCGGGAACCGGAGGGAAGCTCCCATCCCTCACGGCGCAGCTACAGAGGGAAAAGCTGAGGCGGGCATAACCCGGGCAGGGACACGTTCTCTGCGGCTCGGGATTTTTATTTTTAGAGTGTTCCGAGACAAATTCCAGCAAGATGTCTGGTTTGAGCCAAGCCTTTCTTCTTGAACTTGACTTCTCAACTGAGGTAGTTGGCATACTTAAGGGAAAAAATGAATACACTCAGATTTCGTTTTGTTAGATACTAAGCTAGAAAAGCAGCCGAAGGAATAAGAACAGTCCAGAAATCAAAATCCTGTTTCCTGTAAAGAACTGTACAGACAGGTTTTGCTTATTAATGGAACAGGAAAGGAGGGAGAATCGGAGTTTAGGCTCTTTGGACAAGGGCAGGGGAGAGGAGTGTAGGAATGCAGAGGCACCCCCAAGAACGGAAAGGAAGTCCAGATTCTGTCCGTCCGGCCTTCTGCTCTGGGCATCGGTAGCAAAGGCACCTGGGCCTCGGGGTACATGCGCAGTATCGGGCTCTGGTTCATTTCCCAGGTGCTACCACATGGGTTATCTGCAAGTTGTGCCAGGCATCTTCCCCTTCTGAAATTAGGCGAAGGCCTATGTTCCTAAGCGATCGATCGGAATCCCTCGGAACCAGGCTAGTTCAGAAAGCTGTCCCACTGTGTCCAGTCCCAGCGTGCTCCCGCTGGTCACAGAAGTGTGGGCCAGCCAGCAGGGGGAAGGGTATGCTTGTATTTCTGGCTCATATGCTTTTCAAATAAAATGCATTTGACCAAACAAAGGGAACACAGTCCCGAACATTCCTAACCTCCGTATACGCATGCAACCCAAGCCACCAAAATGCGAGTTCATTGTTCCCGAGGTTGCGGGTACGGGGAGTCTGTTCTGTGATGCAAAAGACTACACACCAAAATCCAAGGCCCAAATTAAGTGACTGCTGCAGCCCACTATAAACCAGTAGGAATGCCATTTATACTCCTGGCAGATCAGAGAGTGTCACCCCTCTGAATGTTGTTTAAAAAATATTTTATCAGGAAGTAAGGTCACTTTGCTTGTTTTTAACCTATACAAGTTAGTGTTTGCTTTGAAACATAATTACATACAGTGCTTTTTCCTCTTGGGGATTCTTTTAATTTTGGAGGCATGTCTGTGTTCCAGGCCCTTTCTCCAAGCTCTTACTAACCATAGTTCTATCTATATTAAGTAGTTGCAAATGTGGTCTTAATGGGATGTCATTTACTTACATCTGTAATACTTAAGGCAACTGCTCAATGTGCAGTATTTTCTGGGGATCCTCCTCTGAAAGGCGAAGCACAAATGACTACAGTATTTTATGAAGCAGTTGAGATAATTTTGGGTTTTTTTGTTTTTAAAGATTTTATTTATTTGGCAGAGAGAGAGAGAGAGAGCACAAGCAGAGGAAACAGGAGAGGGAGAAGCAGTCTCCCTACTGAGCAGGGAGCCCGATGCGGGGCCTGATCCCAGTACCCTGGGATCATGACCTGAGCTGAAGGCAGAGGCTTAACCAACTGAGCCACCCAGGTGCCCCGATAATTCTGGATCAAGTTGAAGACAAATCATTATTCACTTTGAAACTGACACCACTAATGCCAAAGAACTTGATTTTCAGGCTCATCCGGAGTTCAGAAGCTTTGTGCTAAACATATGTTTAAAAAAAAAAAAAAGACAATGACTTACATTTTCTGAAGTTTAAGAAATGACATCCAAAGGACAAACGTAACTTTTTTGCCAGTGCGGTTAGAACAGTGACAATGGATGATTTATCCTACCAATTCGATCAACAAGTTCCTTTGTGGTTTCTCCACTGTACCGGATTATGTGCACATGCATGTATGTGGCAAAAGACAAAAAACAGGCTCTCCATGTCCTCGTTTTTAAAATGCATATTCTCTCCCACGCCAGTCATTCAAATAACATGAGAATGTGCTTCTCTAAAAGAACCCCAGCTGTATCTAGGGATTTATTTGTTTTAAAAAATAGAAGTAAGGTAGGTATGGGAATGTTTTTAACAACCAAAGGAATCGACCTGAAGATGATAACCTGGAATGACAGTTCTCTAATTTTAAAGCCTACAGTCTGAGCTTGTAATGGGCAAAGGCATATTCATTCAAGACTTTTGTAAGAAGTGCATACACTATCCAAATATCTAAACATTGCTGAAGGAAAACTGAGTGCCTCTCTTATATACAAAGCAGATGAAGACCAGAAGCAAGTAGAACTTGTCCCACAAACCGAAGCAGATTTCCATGCCAAGAATTAGCAAGTTTCGTAGGCAGGTAATGCTGCCCGTGGAGTATGGTTATAGTTCTCGAGCTGGGGGCTGGGGGGGGGGCACACGAAGTGAGAGGGTGGGACAGAAATCTAGCACTCTGAGAGGTAAAAAGAGAGTCCCCATTTGTAATGAGTACAAAACTTCATTAGGCAACAAGATTTTCTGGCTGGAAGGCACACGAAAAATAACCATGACAATAACTTACTAAGACAATGGAAATGAAGAGAAAAATAATTGCTTTAGGGGAACAGTACAAGTGAATCATTAGCACATCAACCCACTGGGGCTGAAACACAGTACCCTAACATAGGGACTGGCTGAGGGGAAGGACTGGGTCAGAGAGACACAGGGTTTGGTGCTCTTGGTTTAGTTTCGGTGATTGTTCAGCACTTAGTGAAGCCGTTGTGCCTTTTAAATGGAGACCCCCAAAATCCTCTATGTGACAGAAGACTGAAAATTGTAGAGTTATATAAATATTTACTGTTGGTATGTCCCACAGGTTAGACCAAGTTCACTGGTCCGGCTGAGTGGGGTCTTCCGTGTTTTGTCCACCACCACTCAGTGGTACAAAGGCAACTAAACAGAAAAGATGAAAGGAATCATTCTGACTTCTTTCCTTGGTTATATGTCCATAATCTGCATAAAATAAATAATACATGTTAAGTCAAAACTAGGGTTAAAATTTGGAAATGAGGGGGGGAAGAAGAGGCACAGCAATCTGGTATTCTTAAGGCAAAACAATAGGGATCTCTTTAAATAGACACTTTATTATATCCACAGGCGATAAAATCCCAGAGCTACTGTTAGGCACGTAAATACAGATCCTGTAAGAAGAAAAAAAAATGAGCATAGTATTAGTTGTGTTAACAGTTACTTAAAGGACAACTTTTTATTAAGAAGACATACAGGCGCTTATCCACCCATCCATCAAACAGAAAAACAAACACAAGAAACTCAGATAGCCTGCTGATGGGCCACATTCCACGAGACACCTGCCTGCTAAAAAACCCTGTTCCTTGCAATCATCATCTTCAAAGCAGAACTGTATCCAACATTCAACAAAACTTTTCAATGAATGTCAGAAATTCTGTGATCCTTCTTTTGGCTCAAAAATTGCAAAACCAAAATAACTCCTTACAAGGAGTGTCACCAACTGAAGCAGAAAGATCACAACTCAAAAGCCTTTCATTCCATCCATAAAATATCATCTTGAATTTCACTAAAAAAAAAATTCCAAGTAACTACAGTTCAATGGCAGTATCTTATAAAACTTAAGATTCCACCGGTTGTAAAGCACATCATTTTACTACTAAGGAAAAAAAACTACTGATTACCGTATGATATTTGATCTATCGGAAATCATAACCTGCCTTCTAATTTCAGGGATGTTAAAATGTGAAAAAAAATGTGTTAGAATCAATGAAACGCAGTATCTGTCTTTGACTTATTTTCCAAATTTTATTTTCTGCTTGTTTGAACCATCTAGACACAAAAGAGCTTACCTGCTAAATATTTAATGTTATCGAGCTTGTGTGACTCCAGCATGGTTTTGAGGCCAGCGACCTCAGTGTCTATCTTCCTGTCTGTCTGGGTGACAGCGCGATCTTGCTGGGCATGCTTTTAAAACAAAGAGATTCACAGCATTAAACCACCTGGGATCCACCTGCCGTCCCCTCGGCTCCCACCATCCTACAGGCCCTCCCCAGCAGGGTACAGTCCCAGGGAAAGATGGGGTACGATTAAGGAGACATGGGCTTTAGCTTTAGTTCTACTATTCTCACGTTATGTTGCGTTGGTCAAGGCCTTTAATATCTCTGGGCCTGTTTACTTTAATTTGAAAAAAGCAAAAAAACCTCAACAAAACCCAAAAACAAACACACACCACTGGCCCTGCCTTCACACAGACAATCAAATGTGATAATGTATATAAAGCTTCTGTAAATGATAGATTGCTCTACAAATTAAGGTTAAAGTTAAAAGGCAGTCTGTTCTCAAAGACAATAAAGGTACCTCATCTTTCTAAGTTCCTCTCGATGAGAGGTATACAAAAACTGCTTTAAAAAGTGAACACAGGGACGCCTGGGTGGCTCAGTTCATTGAGCGTCTGCCTTCGGCTCAGGTCATGGTCCAAGGGTCCTGGGATCGAGCCCCGCATGGGGCTCCCTGCTCAGCCAGGAGTCTACTTCTCCCTCTACCTGCCGCTCCCCCTGCTTGTGCTCTCTCTCTGACAAATAAATAAAATCTTAAAAAAAAATGAAAATAAAAAGTGAATGCAATCTTAAGATATTCTAAAAGATATTCTGTTTGCCTTGACACAATTTCTATTCACATTTTAAGGTTTTCTTCTTTCATAGTTCAAACACCAAGTATTTTATTAGTATGAGGCTTGGTTATACCAAAGGCCTATTTGTGTTCTTTTCCAAATATAATACAGTTAAACTAGATACATAACCAACCTCTAAGGGTGGTGAGTTTGGCTGATGTTATAAAGGGCTTGTAATATTTCATTAATGCATAAAAATAATTCACTAAATTTCCTAGGACAAGTAAGTACAATTGACCCTTCAACAACGTGGGTTTGAAGTGCATGGGTCCACTTACACCTGATCTGTTCTGATATGGTATAGTACTATAAATGTATTTTCTCTTTATGATTTTAATAACATTTTTTCTCTAGCTTACTTTGTTTTAGTGTACAATACACATAACATACAAAATACGTGTTAACTGTTTATGTTATCAGGAAGGCTTCCGGTCAACAGTAGGCTATTAGTAGTTAAGTTTCTGGGGAGTTGAAAGTTATGTGCAGATTTTTGACTATGTGGGAGGGTCTCTAACCTCCCTACTGTTCAAGGATCACTTGTATGTAGTTCCTTATAGCTAACAATTCTGGTAATGAATAAGGATGAGTAGAAAAGTATTCCAGAGGAATATTCTACTATTCTCTGATGTAAGTGTCTTGCAAGTTTTGGAGGTCCCAAGTAACAAAAGATGGAAAAAAAGTAAAGCAGGTCATAAGTCCGAAGAATAATTTAAAAAACCACCACTCCTTATTATTCTTCAATCACTGGAATTTAAACTTTCATTAAGATAAACAAATATTCTATTAAGTGCCAAAAAAATTCTAGGATCCACCACTTCTGAGTACCTACCCCCAGAGAATTGAAAACAGGGAGTCCAACAGATATTGGTAAAACCAGGCTCATAGCAGCATTATTCACAATGGCCAAAAGACAAAGGCAACCCAAGTGTCCACTGACAGGATAATCCAAATGTGGTCTACCCATAGGTGGAACGTTATTCAGCCTTAAAAAGGAGGGAACTTCTTTTTTTTTTTTGCTGATATCATTTCTATATTTATTTATTTTTTTTATTCTTATGTTAATCCCCATTCATTACATCATTAGTTTTAGATGTAGTGTTCCATGATTCATTGTTTGTGCATAACACCCAGTGCTCCATGCAGAACG